AAGAAAACAAATTTGGTGTGGATTCTTAAAAGAAAGGCGACCATATGATTAAAAAAAAACAATCACGAATGTTTAAGACTATAAAACAAAAGTGCTAGGTCTATCTTGTGATTAAACAAATGTGATCGGGTGATAAAACAAAGGCGATCGTGCTATTGTGTGATTAAACAAATGTGATCGGGTAATGAAACAAATTTGGTCTTGTGCTTAAAACAAAGGCGACCATATAAATTAACAAACAATGACAAATGTTATAAGACAATAAAACAAATGTCAATTTAAACATGTAATTGGTTGAAAAACATATGAGCTCATGCTATCTTGTGATTAAAAAAATATGATCTGGTAATAAAACAAAGGCGATCGTGCTATCATGTGATTAAACAAATGTGATCGGGTGATAAAACCAAATCGATCATGCTATTATGTGATTGAACAAATGTGACTGGGTGATAAAACAAAGTCGATCGTGCTATTATGTGATTAAACAAATGTGATCGGATGATAAAACAAAATCGATCGTGCTATTATGTGATTAAACAAATGTGATCGGGTGATAAAACAAAGTCGATCGTGCTAGTATGTGATTAAACAAATATGATCGGGTGATAAAACAAAATCAATCGTGCTATTATGTGATTAAACAAATGTGATCGGGTTATAAAACAAAGGCAATCGTGCTATCATGTGATTAAACAAATATGATCGGGTGATGAAAGAAAGACGATCGTGCTATCGTGCGATTAAACAAATGTGATCGAGTATTTAACAAATTTGGTCTGGTGCTAAAGACAAAGACAATAAAACAAAGTCGATCGTGCTATTATGTGATTAAACAAATGTGATCGGGTGATAAAACAAAATCGATCGTGCTATTATGTGATTAAACAAATGTGATCGGGTGATAAAACAAAGTCGATCGTGCTATTATGTGATTAAACAAATGTGATCGGGTGATAAAATAAAATCAATCGTGCTATTATGTGATTAAACAAATGTGATCAGGTTATAAAACAAAGGCAATCGTGCTATCATGTGATTAAACAAATATGATCGGGTGATAAAACAAAGTCGATCGTGCTATTATGTGATTAAACAAATGTGATCGGGTGATAAAACAAAATCAATCGTGCTATTATGTGATTAAACAAGTGTGATCAGGTTATAAAACAAAGTCGATCGTGCTATTATGTGATTAAACAAATGTGGTCGGGTGATAAAACAAAGATGATCGTGCTATCATGTGATAAAACAAATGTGATCGGGTGATAAATCAGAGTCGATCGTGCTATTATGTGATTAAACAAATGTGATCGGGTGATAAAACAAAATCGATCGTGCTATTATGTGATAAAACAAATGTGATCGGGTGATAAAACAAAGTCGATCGTGCTATTATGTGATTTAACAAATGTGATCGGGTGATAAAACAAAATCAATCGTACTTTTATGTGATTAAACAAATGTGATCAGGTTATAAAACAAAGGCAATCGTGCTATCATGTGATTAAACAAATATGATCGGGTGATGAAAGAAAGACGATCGTGCTATCGTGCGATTAAACAAATGTGATCGAGTATTTAACAAATTTGGTCTGATGCTAAAGACAAAGACAATAAAACAAAGTCGATCGTGCTATTATGTGATTAAACAAATGTGATCGGGTGATAAAACCAAATCGATCGTGCTATTATGTGATTAAACAAATGTGATTGGGTGATAAAACAAAGTCGATCGTGCTATTATGTGATTAAACAAATGTGATCAGGTTATAAAACAAAGGCAATCGTGCTATCATGTGATTAAACAAATATGATCGGGTGATAAAACAAAGTCGATCGTGCTATTATGTGATTAAACAAATGTGATCGGGTGATAAAACAAAATCAATCGTGCTATTATGTGATTAAACAAGTGTGATCAGGTTATAAAACAAAGTCGATCGTGCTATTATGTGATTAAACAAATGTGGTCGGGTGATAAAACAAAGATGATCGTGCTATCATGTGATAAAACAAATGTGATCGGGTGATAAATCAGAGTCGATCGTGCTATTATGTGATTAAACAAATGTGATCGGGTGATAAAACAAAATCGATCGTGCTATTATGTGATAAAACAAATGTGATCGGGTGATAAAACAAAGTCGATCGTGCTATTATGTGATTTAACAAATGTGATCGGGTGATAAAACAAAATCAATCGTACTTTTATGTGATTAAACAAATGTGATCGGGTTATAAAACAAAGGCAATCGTGCTATCATGTGATTAAACAAATATGATCGGGTGATGAAAGAAAGACGATCGTGCTATCGTGCGATTAAACAAATGTGATCGAGTATTTAACAAATTTGGTCTGATGCTAAAGACAAAGACAATAAAACAAAGTCGATCGTGCTATTATGTGATTAAACAAATGTGATCGGGTGATAAAACCAAATCGATCGTGCTATTATGTGATTAAACAAATGTGATTGGGTGATAAAACAAAGTCGATCGTGCTATTATGTGATTAAACAAATGTGACAGGGTGATAAAACAAAGTCGATACTGCTATTATGTGATTAAACAAATGTGATCGGGTGATAAAACAAAATCGATCGTGCTATTATGTGATTAAACAAATGTGATCGGGTGATAAAACAAAGTCGATCGTGCTATTATGTGATTAAACAAATGTGATCGGATGATAAAACAAAATCAATCGTGCTATTATGTGATTAAACAAATGTGATCGGGTGATAAAACAAAGTCGATCGTGCTATTATGTGATTAAACAAATGTGATCGGGTGATAAAACAAAATCAATCGTGCTATTATGTGATTAAACAAATGTGATCAGGTTATAAAACAAAGGCAATCGTGCTATCATGTGATTAAACAAATATGATCGGGTGATAAAACAAAGTCGATCGTGCTATCATGTGATTAAACAAATGTGATCAGGTGATAAAACAAAGGCGATCGTGCTATCGTGTGATTAAACAAATGTGATCGGGTAATGAAATAAATTTGGTCATGTGCTAAAACAAAGGCGACCATGTGAATCAACAATCAATGACAAAAGTAATAAGACAGTAAAACAAATGTGACTTTAAACATGTAATTGGGTGAAAAAAAACAGATGTGTTCATGCTATCTTGTGATTAAATAATGTGATCGAGTGCATGATCAAACAAAAGTGATCGTGTTATCATGTGATTAAACGACTGTGATCGGGTAATAAAAAAAATGTGGTCTAGTGCTAAAAACAAAGGCGACCATGTGATTCAACAAAAACAATAACGAATGTGATAAAACAATAAAACAAATATGATTGGATGATAAAAACAAATGTGTTCGTGCTATCGTGTGATTTAACAAATATGATCGGGTGATAAAAACAAAGACGATCGTGCTATCATGGGATTTAACAACTGTGCTCGGGTTAAAGAACAAATTTGGTCTGGTGCTAAAAACAAAGGCGACCATGTGACTCGACAAAAGCAGTGACGAATGTGCAAGACAATAAAACAAAAGTGCTAGTGATATCATGTGATTAAACAAATGTGATCGGGTGATAAAACAATGGCGATCATGCTATCATGTGATTAAACAAATGTGATCAGGTAATAAAACAAATTTGGTCTGGTGCTTAAAACAAAGACAATAAAACAAAAGTGCTTGTGCTATCATGTGATTAAACAAATGTGATCTGGTGATAAAACTGAGGCGCTCGGGCTATCCGGCATGTGATTAATTAAATGTGATCGGGTTATAAAACAAATTTGGTCTGCTGCTTAAAGCAAAGGCGACCATGTGATTCAACAAAACCAATGACGAAGGTGTAAGACAATAAAACAAAAGTGCTCGTGCTATCATTTGATTAAACAAATGTTATCGGTTGTAAAACAAATTTGATCTAGCTGTGCTTTTCATTTTATTTTTACTTGTTATGTGTTGTATCATTTAGAAAATGGCATTACAATTTAAGAAAGTAAGTTGCAGACAAAAACATAAAACTGACCTGTGATGTAGAATCTTTATTTTTTATTAGTGGGCCTATATTTGTTTTATTCTTTCCTTCACAATAGAAAAAAGATGTTCGGAAAAGCTTTCTATCCCAGCTTCCCCATAGTTGACTTTTTTCAACAAATGCTGATTGATCATATCAGTTCTATTAAGGTAGATTAACTGTATACCGGCATCTTGGATTTAAAAAAAGTAGTACACAATCGAGACAGATAAGCTTCTTCTTTTGTGGATCTTTACATGATGTATGTAGAACAGTTCCACCATCAATAATAAAAACACTATACACTATTTACACAAGGAATAATTAATGTTTGGCTTCACAGGTTTTTTCAACACTTTACCATTAGAGCATTCAGCAATTAATGTGTAAGACTGTTTATTTGAATAAAGAAAAATAAGTAATTTATTGCATTATCTATAGGCTGTTTTAACAAATACCAAATATTTGTTTTTGTTCGAATCAAGTTTGTTTGGCCTTTACACAGTGACTTTTTGATCCGAGCGACACTGATGAGACTTTTGTTTGACCTATAATGGTTTACTTTTACAAATTGTAACTTGGATGGAGAGTTGTCTCATTGGCACTCATACCACATCTTCTTATATCTATAAAACGTGCGTCTGGCGTTCAAAATTTTAATATGGATATATGTGAAAAGTTTATTTTCAACTAAGCCATTTAATGGGAGATAACTCTAATGGTAAAATATTTATTAAGGAATGTTTATAATTTTTTACTTGTAGCAATATTCACAAAAGTGTTTTTCCATGAATAATTTATGCAAAATAGAAATTTTGCACGACTTGTAGCTTGAAAAATATCACGATGACCAATGCTTTTAATATATTTTTGAAAGTATGATAAAATCTACATTTTGCTATAGTATAAGTAAAATCCACCTCAGGAAACCGATGTATTTTTTTATGCGAAAGTTTGATTATCTCCCTTTACAGCAAATCTCCTAATATTCAATCACGTGATCATCATTTCCTAAAATAGACATTTTCGTCACAACAAAAACATTATTTGTCATTCTAGAAAACACGTATATTGTCTACTTTCGCGACAAAGGTAATTATAACTGATTTTAACAAAACATATGAACACAACATAATGTAAATCGGGTTTTATAACACGAAACTAGAATGAACATTAAGATATTCTTTTTTTTTTCTGTCATGTTGGAAAAAATGTGTTGACACATTGACCTATTTGTTGCCAGCTGTTCAGCCATTTGTAGAAAAAGTAAACATTCCTTTTCCATGAAATTTATTTTGCAAAGAAAGACAATAACTTAAGATCACATGTGTTGCAACAGTAGCATGTTTTGATATTTGCCAAGAAAGAGATGCAATTTGGAACAGATTATGATGATAGAAATTTAACATTTATAAACATTATGCTGGAAAAGAATCATACAAACATTAATCATTATATAAAGACAGGAGTCCATTTTAGAATAATTTCTTTGTTTCTGATATAACAATTTTATGCATTTTGGAAACCAGTTCTCCCCAGGTCAAACTGTTTCCCTTAACCTATTTAAAGCAAGTGGAATCAGCATGGGTTATTAGACATGTTCAGGTTCTGACAAATTAATGTTTGGTGTTTACAAGTAGATTACACATTTGTGATTGATTGATTGGGTTTTCATTTACCCTGAGCAAAAGGCTACATTGTTTTATTTATTGCAAAAGTTAAGAATTAACTTGATAAAGAATAAAATATAAATTTATGTACATAATCGGGGATCTCCATGGATGAAAATTTAACGATGGAGGAACTTTCAACATGACAAAACCCGCATCTACGGTGTGGCGTCATCGTAAGGAATGGTGAACAGGCTGATATATTGCTTATTAGTCCCCTACAAACGAAGTCTAAGGGAACTTAAGATTGGCACTCCGTCCGTCTGTCTGTCCATCTGTCAGTCCAGCAAATCAGTTTTCCAGACTTTTTTGTCTTCGTGCTTGAAGATATTGATTTGATATTTGGTTTATTGATTTATCATGACAAATTCAGGTCAAGTTCAATTTTCACTATTTTAGCTTTTCTCTTTGTTCAGTTAAAGCCCTTTCCCTAGAATTAAATTTTTGATGAAATACTTATTAATAAGTAGATTTCTGTTCAAAGGGAAATAACAAATTTTTTAGAAGACAAAATGGCATTTTAGTTTTTTTTCCTTAAAAAAAAGGCTTTTCTTTGGTAAATTGTTTGAAGAATTTAGTGGTAGGTTTGTTTGTCATTCTTGAAGGTATTGATTTGATAATTAGTATATAGTTTTATGACAAGTTACAGATCAAGTTGGTATTTTGTTCCAGTCTGATAATTTTGTGCAGAGTTATGGTCTTTAGACATAGAAAATTCACTTAAATAATCAGTTTTCAACAGTTTATTTCGTCATGTTTGAAGATTTTGACTTGATATTTTTATGTAGTTTACACCATGACAAGTTATAGATCAAGTAAGAATTTTGTTCCTTTACAATGAATTTGTAAATGGTAGGGGACTATGTATTGCCATGCAATACTCACAGAATGCTTGTATTTATTTCATTATAGAATAACCATTATTAACTATTATCATTAATTGTCATTTGTAACAATTCCAATGCCAAGCCGGCATGGCTCCCCCTTTGTCAAGAATGACCACAAGTTGTCCTTAAGGTTCCCAAGTCGTTTTCTTGCTATTTTGGTAATGAATAGGGCTTCAAATTCGGGGGAGGGATCTTTTTTTCACTGTCAAATTCAGAAGTCATGAACCCACATTGACTATTTGCAGCATCAACAAGAAGAAGTTTCGTACCCATTTTGTAAAACACTGAAGAAAGATTTGGAGGGCAAACGTTTACATGTACAACTAAAAAGGTTTTAATGACTTTAAACAGCAAATGTCATAGTAATATACTATGCAACATGCATCTTTCTGTTCTGAATGTAAACTGGAAAACCGGATGTATCAATTTGATTGTAAACTACAAAATGAATTAGGAATTACAATACGAAATTTCTTCAGATTGTAAACATGGTAAAGTGATTCAACATTATCGATAATTGCTGTACCTGTGTTATTTGGCATGAAATTAAGGTCTGTTTTACGTTTTATTTTGTACTCGTTTAAACAGGAGGATGCTGATTGTGTAAGTCTATATAGAAGCATGTGTTCTACTTGTTACATTTGTTTTCTTTGTAACTGGATTTACAATTTTTTTTTTTTATCTAAATTTTCATTAGCATTTGCTGGAACGTAATAAAATAATGCAATCAATCGTCTATCTTGCTAAAGTGTTCTCCTATCAGGTGTGTCGATCTACCTGTACAAGTGATTAGCGATCTTTAGCTGGATATCCTGCAGGGCTTTAAAACTGTTATCAGGAGGACCCTTTGGATAATATTACTAAAAGCCCAAGGGTTATGCAATTACATGCAATTGAATATAATTGCTAACAAAAATAGCGGCGGCTAGAGAAAAGAAAACAAAATTTGACAATGGCGGGGATCATTTGACAATGGCGGAAGATAATTTAACGGTGGCGGAAGATATTTTAAATCATAAAACACAAAACAGGTCATGGAGATCCCTGCATAATTATCACATCAAAACATGGCCCTTATAAGTTACAAGAGGGCAATTATTCGTAATGCATTTGCCATTGGATACCATTGGTGTTCCATATTTAATTTCTCGAAGACTACACAAACTAGAAAAATGGGTAGCAGTACTAGTTCCTCTTTCCAATAATGTCAGTAAAAGTTGATTTAAAATGCAATGGAAAAAACATCTATTTATTTTTGCTACATGGGAAAAGCATTTTTATTTTATTGCTGCTTTGTACATAAATTTAAAATATTTTCTAAGTGTTTAAAATAAAATATGAATTTACTTTTTGGACTTTTTATACCTAAATGAATAAGCTTTGAATAAATATAATTCTGATTTCCATTTTGGGTTTAAAAACTTGCAGGTAAAATGTGAACAAATAATTGCACTCTTGTAACCTGACATACAATTTGTCCTACATATTTGTTGCTTCCCTTTGCAAAAAGTTCAAAATATGACTTACGGGGAAACAAAGATCATTAAGTTATTTTTTGGAAAAATTGGAACTATTCTTTCCTAAGGCACTGGCCTCCCACACAAGAAGTAGCACAGTTTAGCTATTAAATGTACAAAATGAATACACATTGAAATACAGTTCCCTATAATTCTCATGTCTGTGTACATTTGCACATATGAATTGTGAAAAATTTGGGTTATATCTTAGGATCAGTTCATTGAAGTATGTATTTCTTCAAGTTTTGTCAATTTGCAGGCTATTCATGTCATTTAAATTAGGTAAGAGTAATGATACAATACAAGTATGATTGACAACTGCCATGATCAGTGAACAATCAGAGACAAGGTGGGGTCTTAATTATAATGTCCCACCTCTTTAAATGCCAATCATATTGACCAAATTACTAATCATCCTTAGTCTTACATAATAAAATGGACCCTTCATTATACATCTCAATACACAAATACTTGACCTCATAATTGAATACACAAATGTTTATATATTGAATTGATAGATTTATTCATTGCCTATTACTTTTGATCTACACTACATAAAGTAAATCTATAAATTATGTCTGAAAGATCAAGGATTAAGGATTCACAAGATCTTTTTTTTTTCCAAAAGAAAAGACCAAATATGAAATCTAGATATAAAAAATGTATTCAAGTAAGGTCTAAATTTTCCTTATAAATCTGTGCAATCCTCATCTGTAATTTATCAATAATTAAGGTTTAACTGGTAAAACTTTACCTTATCAGTGATTGGCTTGAAACTGTGAGTAAAATTTCAAAACTCTTAACCTGAGCAATCTGATATTTTTTTTTAGTTTCTTCGGGAAATTCTTCCCCATCAAATGTCTTTAAACAGTATTTGTCATTTGAATACAGGAAGTGTATTTTTGCAATTAAGAATTAATCCCCATTTCAATAGAAGAATTTTTTTTATTTTTTTATGTTACAAAAGTACTTTTTCAATGATGTTTTCTGGAAAATATTAAATGAAACATTGAATTAAAATACACTTTACAACTTTTAATTTTCAGTGCCAAACAATCAGAATTGTTTTCAAAACCAATAAGCAATTCTTAGAGGGGAAAAATAGTATACCTATGTTTCAACTTACAAAATGCTCCCTAAAAAACCTTTTTAGATTAATTTTTGGAGACAATATAGAAATATAGATCTTAGTTTCAAGTCTGTTGGTCCCATGTCCTTCTAAATGTACTAGGATATTGAAGGAATCTTTGTTTGATCATTTCTTCTGTTTCTAAAGATAAAACATAAAGTGCTTAGACCTGCAGTTATACAATTGTCAGCAATAGTGCTACATGTATATTAATGTTATTTTATTGTCCACAGCATACCTTATATATTATTCAAACTACTCATCCAATCTTTCCATGAGTGATTTCCATCACTTTGATTAATTTAACTGTTTGATGATAAAATCATGAAAATTAAATTTGTTTTTATGTCTTCCATAATAATTAACTGAAAAAGCCAAAGGCTTCAATAAAAAAAATTCTCTACCTAAAACAGAAAAAAATTGTACTCCAAGTCATTGGTATTTATTCACTTAATTTGCATAATTTATCACTTCTCAAACATAACATGCAGAACAAGTTTTTTTCTGAGCATTTTATTCCTATTTTCTTTGAAAAAATGGCATCACAAAAAAACTTTTATGCAACTTCTAATTTTCAATGCAACACAAACGTGTTTCCAAGAATTTTTGAGGTAGTACATGTAGAAACACACATATGACATTTTAAAGCTCAAAACTAAATTGCTGTTAAACCAAAGCCTGATATTTTAATAACCATGAAAACCACTAAAACTGGTATCCAAGGAAACATAATGAATCCACAGTATCCTAGAACGTATATTGTTCTGAAAAATTCACAAGATTCACAGATAATTTGTTTACTAGAACAAGTCAGTTTGATTGTTTTCTGTTAGTTGAATCTCTTTCAACTGGTCCTCAAGTAAAATAATTCAGTGTATAAATAAATAGAGCTACAACTAATACATGTACTTTTGTTCTATTATGTACAATTGTACATGTGTTCCCTTCTTAAAACAGAAATAGGCAAATATACATGTATGTACAGGAAAACTGAAATCTGTTAAATCAATATAAAAATAAGGAGATGTGGTGTGATTGCAAATGAGACAAATATTCACCAGAGATGGAACGATGATGATGTCAGCAACTAAATGCCAACGAAAGTCTTTTCCGTCTTTTATGTCAACCTATGAAAAACATGTTTTGTAATGCACGGCCACCCCCTGTTCAGAGTACATGTACCTTTGACCAGATTCAGACTACATGTTGTACCATAAATTCAGAAATTTTTGCATGCATTAAATTGATTATTGTAATTTTTGAACAGTGGACTAGGTAGAACTATAAATGATGTAAATAGCACATAATTATAAATACTGTATATAAAACTATTAAATTTTAGCACCCCATCACACTATGTAAATATTTGTTAAATGTTAAACCTATATCCCAAATGGGAGTGCTCCGATATATAATGGAGATTCATACCTGTACAGAACAGATAGGACACAAATAAGAGACTAATTACCTATTACCATTTCAGAAAATGCTGCATACAAATAATTCTATCAAAAGTGAAAAGACAAGTTTTTTTTTAGCGAAACCTATTCCACAGAAATTCTCAAAAATAAAAACATTGCAAAAATTTCTGAATAATTCTATGATGTTAATGTTGTACTTACTTTTAGTAAATAATACAATGTTAATAATAGTGAATTACAATGAGCTTTTGCATTTTTTGCTTTCAGATAAATAATGAGATTTGGTATGGATGATGAGCCTGATGTAGACAAAAATGATCAAAGTAAGTATAAAATATGCCTAGTACACTGTCTTAAATGACATTGTCACACACAATTTGTGTACAAACACTTACAAGAACTTTCACAAATGTACAACATGTACACTACTAACCAATTGAAATTCAAGTACATGCATGACATGTGTATGATCTAATCCTTAGGCCATATCAACTTATTGTTGATTCTCATTCCTCTGTGTTATTGTGACCAAAAAAATTTGTTTGAATATTCTGGAGTATTTCTATTGTTAGGAATCAATGAAAACTGCCCAAACTTAAATTACATTTAAATAAAAATAACCTCAATTCTGTTTTTATCTGTGAAAATTTCACTGCTGAATTCTGATTTCAAACTATCATAATCAATATTTTGTTTCTCCCTTATGGAAGCGTGGACAATAAGTAATGCTGGTCAAAACAGCTGTGAATTCAATTGAAGTACATATACAAAATTTTTTTATATAATTTATGCTTACAAATTATTTTTTTAATGATGATTCTACAAATAAGCAATATTCATTATAAAACCCCCTAAACCTAAAAAAAAAAGGATTGGCAGAATTTTTACCATCAAATGAAATGCATTCACGACACAATAAAATATCAGTTTTTTATGTTATCAGTTCTAAGACTGTTTGCTAATGTTTGAATTATTTACATTGTATTATTAAAACTGTAAATTTACAAATATAAATAAAGGTAATGTGTTCTTGTATAATATTCAAATATATAATTATCTGTTATTCTGTTAGCTTGTTTGTATTTTGTTTATCAATTGATAAGATAAGTCATGTATGATTAAAATACTTCTTTATGTAACAGGTTCGAAATTTAGTGACATCACTTTGGTTACCAAAAACTGTAGTATTGATTTCCTTTATAAAAATAAGTACAATGTAGTTTTGTTTCATTTTCACACAATTTCCTTGAATTTGAAAGACTCCATAAGGTTGAACTGATTTACATAAATAGACTCTAAATCATAGATTTATTGTTTCATTGGGGTGAATTTATGAGTTTTGTGTAACAAGTTTAGGAAGATATTTTATATTTACATCTTTACATGTTCTATTAAACTTCCAATTTGTAATTTGATCAAAAATTTTGTTTAAAAGGTAATCAATATAGCACTTTTTTTTAAACGTAATATAATGATAAATATTGCAGCATAATAAATAATTTTGGTCTGTTTGATTTCTTTTGCACTCAGATAGTTCCGTAGATAAGATTATGTAATGTCTTGAATAGTCTCTATACAAATGCATGAATAAGTTCACAGTTATGTGTACATTGAATGTTTACTACGTATGTAAGTGTTTAAATAACTATTATTACTTCCTTGTTTAAATATTGGACATGAAATAACATTATTGAAGGACTTTTGAACTTTCCAGGAATTTCTGGGATATATATAATTAACAGGTACATTTGTATATATATATTTTCTCCTTTGTAAAGGTGTGTTGGTGTCTTTATCATGTTTATTTAAGTTTTAAGTTTTCAGCAAAGTAGGTTTTATTTTAAACCATGAATTTTTGTTGTTCAAAATTTGAAGAAAAAAATGTCAGTTCTAAGAATGAAACAGAAAGTGAAAGTCAACTTTGATAATTTACAGTGCTGTTACACAAAAAAAAACTATAGTTGTAAATTTTTTGCCCCAAGATTTTGTATATAACTTTGAAAGTAGTAGTAGGGCCTTCATATATGTTTTATCATAAAATAAGTTTGAAACAAGTTCCCTCCCAGTCGATCAGGTTATAAGTTTTTATTGCTATACAAAAACATGTTCAGTGTATGCTTTTCAGATTAGAATGTAGATTATTTCATTGATAAAGTTTAGCTTTCTTATGATTGTTATGGACTCTTGTTTAACATAAAGCTTGTAGTCTGTTTTGTTTTCAGGGTTGGGAGGGACTATGCATGTAGCAGCCTAATTTAAAAAGAGAAGTCAGATTGATATATTTATATACCTGTTATGCCTTAAATTTAAAATCCTGATTTTTACCTAAAAATACCAAAAGAAGCCTACACAAATTGATGAGTCCAAAGTAACTATTCTATAAAGTCATGGAACAATAGATCAGTATTGGTATGGTCATCTCACAGGTTAATTGATAATCTTCTTATTTTTAAGACATCAAATTTTCGAATAAGATCCAAAGCAAGTGAATGTAATGTACACACAAGGTGGCTCAATAAAAGGAGATGTAGTTTTGAGTGATTCACTGTGAAACAGGTTTACAACTGTCAAAATATTTTCTATGGAATATTCAGCAACATTTCAGAGTGAATCAAATCACCTACAATCAACAGTTATTTACTGTGACAGGTCACCACCCACTGGCACCCAGGGTGATTTTGAACTGAATCATCATTTGTGTTCTTTATATTGATAAAGGATAACTATTTCAATGTATTTACAAATAATCATTTCAGAAAAAGCTTCTTTTGAATATTATGCTTTGTAGGCTATATGTGTTCAGTTGTTTTAATAATTTAAGTAATTGTCTGATTTACAGAAAACATGGAAGAAGTAAACACAGACACACAAGAAGAGGAAGCTGCTGCCAGCTCAACAGGGGAGACAACCAACAAAAGAAAAGAATTTGCTATGGTTATTTTTCACAACATTCCTGAAACATACCCAGCAGATGCTCACATTGAATGTGGCTATACAATAACATCTGACCTTACACCAAGTAGAAGTGACTGGATTGGATTGTACAAAGTTGGTTGGTTGTCAACGAGAGATTATATTTACTACGACTGGGTCAACATACCATCTAATTATGAAGCTGGAAAGGATGCAGAAGGACATATACTGTTTCCCTGTATGTTCACAACATTTAAGCATTATTTTAATTTTATTAGTTTTACGGTACTTGCAAAACTTTATAAATACAAATGTTCAATTAAAGATTCTCAAAAGAGATTTACTAAAAAAAAATACAGTTTTATAAATGAAATCTATTCCTCTCTTCTGTCTTATGTTAATTTTAATATTGAATTGAGTATAGATTAAAATAATACTTTCTACATGTTATATTTATGGAGAAAAAATAATAAGTCACAACAGCTAATAAAAAACTGATGAATTTATATTTAAACTCAATACTGTGACAGTTGTTTAAGTCATGGTTTAATTATTTTTCCATAGATTTTATAATAAAATCAAAACAAGAAATTTTAAGTCCATTGGATATTCTTTTGATTTGTTAGTACAGAATCTAAAAACATAAATTATGATTTTGCTATTATAAACCAAAAGTTTGTTTTCATATATGAGTCAAAGTACTTTCACACTATTAAAGTGTAACTTTTGACCAACAGTTTTATACATGTTAGTTAACCCACCCAAAAAGTAAGAATATCCTTACCATTTCACAATCACCTAAAAACTGTTCATAGAAAAGTACCACAAATAGAATGTATTCTTTGGACTCCATGGGTCTGTGGTTCTTCCTAATGCCACAAACATCTTATCAGTAGAATTGATACCAGGGGTTCTATCAAATGTACTGTAGAAAAGAGCAATACTTGCATTTATACAATATGAAAAAAAACATGATTTATATGTTTGGCTTTTGAGTAATTTTAAACTCCCTCAGGAGTAATACTTATTATATTGAGTAGTATTACAAATGTAATTAAACCTATTTATTATTAATATTGCATAATTAACGAGAAGCTTATATTTATATATTGTAGATTAATTATGTATAAACAGACATGCATTCTGTGAAAATTTAATTAATTTTCTACATAGTTTGATATAAAATTACCTCATTGTTTAGATGTATTGATAGAATAAGTTATTCTGTCATGGTACTTTGTATAAAAAGAATTATATCTTTCATTTTTTTCAACTAATTCAAATTGCTGAAATATTTTGAGACACTGATGTTTATCCAGTGTTAACTCAAAGTATGTTGCCTTATTTTACAGTTTGACAAAAAGTAAAAGTAAGGAAGAAATATATATTAAAGTTCTCACTAATTTTAAGTACATAAATATCAGTATCCTACAGTAAAATGGAAATCTGATAAATCAGCTATGTTTTTTTGTTGGCCAACACTAAGGTTTTATTTTTGTTTTATGATTTAACATCAGAACCTTAAATTGGATAAATGCTAAGTAGGCTTAATCATTGTGGAGAAACATGCAATTGTCAAAAAACAAGGGAATCTTTTAAAAAAAATATGAATTGCATGCCTTATATTACACAAAAGCGGTAAATGTTTAATAATGTATGAACTTTATGATGAAAACTGTATTTCAAAGCTAGATTAAATACTAATTATGTAAACATTCTTCAATCTTTCAGCTCATAAACTGCCCAATGATGATGGAGAATTCTACCAGTTCTGTTACGTAACAAGTTCTGGACAGATCAGAGGAGCCAGTACACCATTCCAGTTCAGAAGGCCAAGTGCTGATGATTTTCTTGAGATTGAAGATGAAGAAACTGAAATGCTGGTTATTAGATCAAAGACAGTCGTAATGGCAGAAAATATCAGTAAGCTAGAATCGGAGAAAACTGCTTTGTTACAGGTATACAACATATTGTAAATTCACAATTTTGTGCATGCATTCATTATTGTAATTGTTGAACAATGGATACAAATACGATATTAACTATTGTGCTTTCAGGAAATGTTGCATAGAAATAAAGCTATACAAATTTTAATACAAGTTTTTAATTTTGTGAAACCTATCCTGTCTTGATTTCCTAATCTGATTCTCATTTCTAACAATTCTGAATTTACAGTTTTGGATTCTAAAGATTTCTTTAGGACTTTTTTAAATGTTGCCAAGGAAAGAAGAACTGTTTTAGTCTTTTATTTAATTATATTTGTCTTTTTGATTTGATGAATTCATTTACTAGTATAGGACAGGTTGATATTGAAAATGAAAAGTTGTTTCAGTATTTACAGTGAGATTGTCATTAAAATCATGAAAATATTTGTTAGATTTGTTTGTCTGTAAAAGTCTGTATATGTTGATGTTACCCTGCATATGTGTTCTTTGTACATTTGTTGATGTTACCCTGCATATGTGTTCTTTGTACATTTGTTGATGTTACCCTGCATATGTGTTCTTTGTACATTTGTTGATGTTACCCTGCATATGTGTTCTTTGTACATTTGTTGATGTTACCCTGCATATGTGCTCTTTGTACATTTGTTGATGTTACCCTGCATATGTGTTCTTTGTATATTTGTTAAGATGAGATAGTATCTGAGAAACTTCCTTGAGTTGAAATACCATAGATAAATTATGTATTCCTATTGTCCACGTCAGCATCAATGATATTGGCCAATGAAATCGTCATGTTCTAGCTCTACTCCACTGAAAAAAACTTTCCCAATCGAGTAGCTTGAAATGGAAAATGATCACTTACAAAAAAAATCAAAGCAAATATTTTGAAAATAGCCATAAATGTATTTTATTGTATCCCAGTAATTATATTTAAAATTTTATAGATGCAGCACGACCTTGAACTGGAAAGAGATGAACTTGTAAACAAACTGTATTCACTGGACCAGAACCTTCAGGAAGTGGTGCAGGAAAACAAACATTTATCTGACCAAGTTAATGTTGACAAGCAGACGATTGTACAACTACAACAGGAAGCTAAGGACCTAATCATGGTCAGAGATGAAGTTCAGCAAAAGGCTGATACAGTGAAAAGGGTAAGATGGTGTTTTATACTGTGGATTCATAATTATTTATGGGGAACTAATTTTCTTGGATTTCATGGGTAAAGGCGACCCACAAATTTAAGTGATAAACAAAACACAAATTCCCTATAGGCATGTAATGTTTGTATAAAAAGTTGAAAAATGAATCTAAAGTAATATATCTTTTTATTGATTTATAAAAGTAGAACCATCTACCTGGTTTGAAAAATATTTGAATATAGTACAATTTCATAGATTCATTCATTCATTATTTCTTTTTTATTTAACTTTTGAAAACCATGAAAAATAATGTAAGTGATTGTAGCAAACATGATTTTAAATGAAAATGCTTGGTTAAATTTCAAATAAAGTTTCATTGAATTATTTGCATTTACATGTACATGTAAATGAAATTTTCTGTTTAGAAAGTATAAGTGTACTGGTAATTTTTACCTGAATTACATGTTCCAACATCTTTTAAATTCTAGAAAAACTAGTCTCTTATATTCAATTCTAATCTTAGGACCAGTTTAGCAATGACACAGTTTTTTTAAGGTATGAAATTTTAGTTAACTTCAGTTGAATTGACATCAAACATTTTTGAAAGTTTTCTTTGTTTATGCAATTAAATTTGTTAATTTAATCTTTCGGTAACCATTATTCTCTTATGATTTTCATATCTGCAAATACTTTGACGTGATTGGTACTTGGCTAACTCTTTGGTGGACCATGTTGCCGGAGTTAATTTTGTAAACACTCTGTTAATCAGCTGAGTTTCTAGAAAAAAGGGTTTAAACCTATAACAATGCAGTCGAAATTCATTTAATGGTTTAAAATTTCATGTTTTTTTTTAACCATAGAATCCCTGAATAGTAATACTTTCATGCTATTAGACTAATTGAATATACTGTTGTTTTTATTTCAAAGACAAGAATTTATATGTTTATACTCCATACTGTTATTTCTATAGGACAGAGAATCAATACAAGACAAAGTCAACAGATTAGATGATGAGATAAATAAGCTGAAAGAACATGATAAAAGATTACAGAATGAGAAAGATAATTTGGAAGGGGAAAATCTCAAACTGAAACAAGGAATAGATATGTACAAGGTAATAGAAATCAAATGTAATCTTGAAATTTTTCAAGGAAATATTTGATTAATATCATAGTAAACTTGGGAAGGAAGTCTCATGAAATTTTTTATTATGCATATTTTTTTGTATTGTTTTTTTTTATGCCACACCTTCTATAGTAGAGGAATATTATGTTTTTCTGGTTTAGGTGTCTGTCTGTCTGATATTCTGTGATCGGTTTTGACCAAAATTTCCTGAACATAGAAATAGTGGGACACAGGATATGGTGTCCTATGGATACAGAATATTGTTTTGGTCATGGTTTAGTGATTTAAAAGTAATGATCTCATTCATCCATATGTAATCGTAAATGTATGGTTAGCTTGAGTTTGAATTGTAAAGTGGTGATTTGTTTTCCATTATTCTCTGTATCAATTTTTTCCCCATTTTGTTGCATAGAATTATCTGTAACAATTTTACCGTCTTATTTTAGCAACATTTTACAAAACAAGAGGGAATGGATAAGGAGTCAGCACGTCAGATTGAAGATTTAGAAATAAAACTTGCCAAACAGGAGAGCCTTGTTGAACACCTGAAGTCAAAACTAGACAGTACAAAAGCAGAATTAGAACAAACCAAGTTGTTGCTACATCGACAGGAAGAAATATCTTCTTCAGATAAAGTAAGAGGGTTATGACATTCTTTTTCAAACAGGTGGCCGAGTGGTCTAAGTAGTCGAACTACTGTATTACTATCCTGTCAACACTGAGGTTGTGAGTTGGAATCCTGCACATGGCAGGTGCCCTCAACTCCAATGTTGATTGACTAGGAGTGTCAGTTTTCCTACCAAAGGTGATGGTGATAAATTCATAATAGTGCTAATCACTTTAGGTCTAACATTTATTCCCTCAACATTTTGCAAGTTTGCTTTGTTGAATAGTAAGTTCTTTAAACAATTTGAATCAAACTATACATAGCATATATCAATTGATCTTGTAATTGATTGATGGCTGCTTGATATCCAGCAGCAAATACTACATATATATTCTTCCGATCAATCACTTGTTTATATGACATGAAGATTTCCTGCTTTGAACCAGATCAACACACTGAGACAGATTTTGAACATGCTAGCTCACAAGTAATCTGTCCTAAGTTAGACATATCACCCTGTTTTGACTCCTAGCTAATCAATCATTGCTCTTAATCCTAAATGCTGTACTGTCACTGTGGTCTAGTGGATGCATGCTTGCCTTGAGTGCTAGAGGTTCTTGGTTTGAGCTGAAGCCTGGTCAAACCAAAGACTTGAAAGTTGGTAATTTATGCTTCTGTGTAAAGCATGTAGCATTTAAGAGTAAGCGCAAAGGCTGGTACGCTTGGGATCAAAATAATGGTATAGTTATTGAGACAGGTCTTCCTGTAAATAAGCATGTTTAATTCCTGGCTTAGCATATCATTCTTGTTCAAATAAAATTGAGAATGGAAATGGGGAATGTGTCAAGGAGACAACAACCCAACCGCAGAGCAGAAAACAGATGAAGGCCACCAATGGGTCTCAAAGCAGAGTTCATATATCAGTTAGAATATTGCACAAAAAATATACTTATAGAACGGGTGAGTTTTGTCATATTTGTTGCCTTCATTTTTGCTGAATTTTGAATTTAGTAGGTGATTTCATAAATTAACCTATATTGAATGTATGAAAGAAATTTCTAACAACCTATGAGGCAAAAATTGGGGAAGCTCAGTTTCAAGAACAATTTTTATGCCCCCACCGTAGCAAAGGGGGCATTAAGTTTTACCCTTGTCCGTCTGTACGTCCCAAAGTTGGTTTCCGTTCTCTAACTTTATTTTGCCTCAACCAAATGTTATAAAACTTATACGCAATGCTTATTACCACAAAACACAGATCAAGTTTGAATATTGGTGGCGTCACTTTAACCGTTCTAGAGTTATGCCCCTTTACAAATGGAAAAATTGCTGAATTTTTCGTTTACGTTCTCTGACTTAAGTTAACCTCAACCAAATGTTATAAAACTTATACACAATGCTAATCACCACAAAACACAGATCTAGTTCGAATGTAGGTTGCATCACTTTAACCATTCTGGAGTGATGCACCTTTACAAATGGAAAAATTGCTGAATTTTTCGTTTCTGTTCTTTAACTTTAGTTTGCCTCAACCAAATGTTATGAAACTTATACACAATGCTTATTACCACAAAATACAGATCAAGTTTAAATTTTGGTGGTGTCACTTTAACCTTTCTAGAGTTATGCCCCTTTACAAATGGAAAAATTGCTGAATTTTTCGTTTCCATTCTCTTACTTAGTTATCCTCAACCAAATATTATGAAACTTATACACAATGCTTATTACCACAAAACTCAGATCAAGTTCAAATTTGGGAAGCGTCACTTTTACCGTTCTTCAGTTATGTCCCTTTATAACTATATGATATGCAAGCGGGGGTATCATTTGTGTCCACATGTGGACACTATCCACATTTATTATAATTTATTTTTTGAATAAGAACCGTTACACTTTTTTATTTAAACTGGTTTCAAAAATCACAATGTAAGCCAATGCATATAATAATATTACGAAAATAAGATAACAAGAACGTAGTAAATTAGCTGATAAAGTGTTGTTAAATTCAATCTATTTTGGCTGGTATAATAAAAGTTGAATCAAGTTTTTAAATGAAACCAAACTGCTGACATGTTATTTTATTTTTTTTCTTATGTACATTTTCAATAGCTTTTAAATAAACCCAATTTGGTTATTTCATTGTTAAATATACCAAAATAAGAATATCTTATTAAAGTTGCCAGAAAATTACAACAAATTTTCAAACATTTCCAGTTTTGATCCTTGACAGCAAACATGTTTATTTTATGTGTTTTCAAAGTTCTAAATAAATGCAACATATCTAAGAATCACAAAAATGACAATATTATGATAAACTGTCTCCACCCCCCTTTCTCAAGTAATGTGTCTGTATTTTAGGAGAACATTGATTACTTGTCAGAAAAGATACAGAACTTAGAAGACAAATTGGCAGCTGCTGATAATGTCAAGGAGCTACTTCAGGATGAACTCACAACATTCAGGGAACATAATCAGAAAATGGCTAATGATTTACAGGTATTTATTTATATTCTAAAAGTAAGAGATCTAGATACAATAAGGCCTTTGCTGACATCAACGTAGTAATGTCAAGATCTCAAAATACAGTTTATTTTAGGTAGATAGGCAGAAACTGTGAAGGGTAAAAATGATCAGCAATACAAGAATTACAAAGAAGTGAAATAACCAAAACCATCAAACAGCTCTATAGGAGTTATTGCCCTTGAATGAAGATTTTCAACTTTATTTTTGTGTTTTTGCCTATTATGGGATATAGGAGTAGAACAGTAAACTGAATAAACTGCCCTGTAAAGGTGTATTTTTTAAACTTGAATTGTTTGAGTATATCTACTGTGTATCATGTGTATGTATTCCTAAATATATTATTTTTCAAAGTATAATAAGAACAATTGTTTATCTGCTTCATAACTAAATCAGAGTGAAAAAGAAACACATTTCATTTTCGTCCATTTTTATACGACCGCAAAAATTTTTTTGCGGTCGTATATTGGTATGACATTGTCGTCGTCGTCCGAAGACACATTGGTTTTCGCACTCTTACTTTAGTTTAAGTAAATGGATCTCTATGAAATTTTACCATAAGGTTCAATACCACAAAAGGAAGGTGGGGAGTGATTTTGGGGGTTATGGTACTAACAGTTAAGGAATTAGGGGCCAAAAATAAGCATTTTTGTAACTTCCAGACATAACTTGTGTGTTAGTGTATGGATCTCTCTGACATTGTACCACAATGTTCCATATCATAAAGGGAATGCTGGGATTGATTTTGGGGGTAATGGGTAAAATTATAGGAATTAGGGGCCAAAAAAGGGGCAAAAAACAAGCATTTTTCTAGTTTCATGATAATCACTTGTGTGTAAGTGTATGGATCTTTCTGAAATTGTACTACAAGGTTCCATATCACAAATGGACAGCTGGAATTGAGTTTGGGGGTAATTGCCCGGAACATTTAGGAATAAGGGGCCAAAAAAAAGCATTTTTCTAGTTTCTAGACAATAACTTGTGTTCAAGTGTATGGATCTGTCTGAAATTGTACTGCAAGGTACCATACCACAAAGGGAAGGCTGGGATTGATTTTGGGGGTAATTGCCTCAAAATTTGGGGAATTAGGGGCAAAAAAGGGGCAAAAAAACAAGCATTTTTCACAAAGGGAAAGCTGGGTTTGAGTTTGGGGGTAATTGCCCTAAACATTTAGGAATTTGGGGCCAAAAAGGGACCTAAAAACAAGCATTTTTCTAGTTTCCATACAATAATTTGTGTTCAAGTGTATGGATCTCTCTGAAATTGTACTGCAAGGTACCATACCACAAAGAGAAGGCTGGGATTGCGTTTGGGGGTGATGAATCATAAGGGGGTTCAAAAAATTTGGGGGAGGGATTTTTTTTATTTTAAATTTTCCATTTTAAATTGGTTATTTCTGATTTATATATAAAAGCAAATAATAATGATATGCTTTGAATAGGTAAATTAAACATTTTTAAGTTCTTAGACCACATTCATTCTGTGTCAGAAACCTATGCTGTGTCAAATATTTAATCACAATCCAAATTCAGTGCTGTATCAAGCTTGAATGTTGTGTCCATACTTGCCCCAACTGTTCAGTGTTCGACCTCTGCAGTCGTATCAAGCTGCATCCAGCAGAGCATTTTATTCTAGAAATTTGTCATCTTTTTAGATTTTGTTTCTTATTTCATATGTGGCACAACCCCTTGTTTTTGGTTGACAAATAAAGAATAAATTTAGTAAATTTAAAATATTTCAGCAAATATATTTAAGGCCAAAATTAAGAGTTAGTGAACCAACTCCTTTATTAGATAGCCAGACAACAAAGTGATCAGCAATGCAAGAATTATAAAATTGCCAATATGACTGAAACCATCAGGTGAATCCATGTAAGAGTTATTGCCCTTTAATTATGACTGTTTGTTTTTGGATATTTATCTTGAAAACAATATAAATGGATAGAGAGAAGCTGTTGATTATAAAATTGATAAACAATCAAAATGGGATGTACAAACTATTCCTTGTGGTCTTTGTGTTGTGATGACTTCTTACAGGAAGGACATTTGAATTTAGGAGGGGTTAGACAGGGGCTTGGAAGACTTTGTAGAAATGTTTATCCTGATTGTACTTTTAATTATTTGATCTCTTAAAAGTTAAAAAAATAATTCATATATAAATTTTTAAGGGAAAAGCAAAAATTTGTACACATGTGTTTGGTGTTCTTTAGGTCTGTAAGGAAGAGAATCATTCCCTGAAGCAGAAATTAAGTCAAGATCAAGATACCTTAGGATCACAAGTATACAACTTACAAATTCAGCTTAAAGAAAAAGCAACTGAAATCGAGGCCATACAAATCCAAGTTGAAGAAAAAGAAAAAAATTTGGCTTATGTGCAGTTGGTAAGTTTATTTTGTCATAAGTATGACTTGATTACAAATTATACAAAGTGTCTTCATATTTTGGTAGCCTGTAATGAGTAAGATGATATATTTGAACCATGTCTAAGTCAAGATGTTGACTCACAAATTAGTATTTACTACTTCTCAGCTAAGCATGCTGCTGCTGCATTTATAAGTAAGAGTAAAGACTTATCTATTCACAGTCATAATACTGTATTTTGGTTTGGTAAATTGTTTCTTTGTAAAGTAGCACCTCTCATGATATCTATGTTGTACATAGTGTATATTTAAATATCTTCACCTCTAAAACTGCTCAATGGTTTGAAACCGAAGTATATCTGATTCAACTGTAGGATGTCTTCTATTAACCAACATAGCCAACGTGGCTAAAACTAGAACATAGAGGGTTAACTGCAGTTATTGGCTAATAACTAAAAAACTATAACAATAAGAGAAATATAACAGGGTAAAATGGTCAGCATTATAAGCTCTATCTTTCTTTAGAACCTATGTTGGAGTTGTTGTCCCTGAAACGTTGGTTTTTGTCTTGCCTTGACATTGTAAGCAAGACTTAGATGTGCTATTAAGTAGTGGAGGAGGCATTTTTATACGACCGCAAAAAAATTTTGTGGTCGTATATTGGTATGACGTTGGCGTCGTCGTCGTCGTCGTCCGGCGTCGTCGTCCGAATACACATTGGTTTTCGCACTCTAACTTTAGTTTAAGTAAATGGATCTTTTTGAAATTTGACCATAAGGTTAAATACCACAAAAGGAAGGTTGGGATTGATTTTGGGGGTTATGGTACCAACAGTTAAGGAATTAGGGGCCAAAAAGGGGCCAAAAATGAGCATTTTCTAGTTTCCAGACAATAACTGTGGAACGGTGTATGGATCTCTCTGAAATTATACTACAAGTTTCCATACCACAAAGGGATAGTAAGATTTGCTTTGGGGGGTTATGGCTCAAACCGTTTAGGAATTAGGGGCAAAAAAGGGGGAAAAACAAGGTTGTCCTGGTTAATGGACAAATATTTTAGTACAAAACATAATTTAAAGCAGTGTAAGGGAGATAAATCAAATACATCATTGAAATTATCTCCCTTACACTGCTTTTAAATTATGTATAAAGTAATGGTTAATGAACAATAAAGATAATCTAAAACAGTGTAAGGGAGGTAATCCAAATACAACGTTTTGGTTACTTCCCTTACACTGCTTTTAAATTATGTTTAAAGAAATGCATATTTATAAAGGAAGACCAGTAAAAATATCTGCAAATGTTGCATCTTTTTTTTTTACAAAAAAATCCATATGAAAGATTTGACACTATATTTTTATTAATTCTATTATAAAATAGATTAAGTTAGCACTATGGTAAATTTAAATGGGTAATTATGGTTGCCAACTCCATTGGAAATTTGAATTGAGATTATGACCATATCTTGAGGGAAAGAATTTTTTGGGGGGAAAAAGGGGGGGGGGGATAAAAAAAATTGTGGGGGGCCAATTTTTTCTCATTTCAGATTTCAGAAATTAAAAAGAATTATTCTTCAAATATTATTTTTTTTTCAAATTTCAAATATTGAAAAATTTCAAGAAGTAATCTTTAATTGCACAGTATGGTCGCATTTGATTTGTAAAATCTTTGATCACATTTTTTATTTGTTATGCCGAATCTAACAGTGTATTTAGATTTTTAATTTTGGGTCCAGTTTTCAAATTGGTCTACATTAAGGTCCAAAGGGTCCAAAATTAAACTTAGTTTGATGTTAACAAAAATTGAATTCTTGGGGTTCTTTGATATGCTGAATCTAAACATGTGTTTAGATTTTTGATTATGGGCCCAGTTTTCAAGTTGGTCCAAGATAGGGTCCAGTATTTAAACTTTGTTTGATTTCAACAAAAATTGAATATATGGGGTTCTTTGATATGCTGAATCTAAACATGTATTTAGATTTTTGATTATGGGCCCAGTTTTCAAGTTGGTCCAAGTTGGGGTCCAAAATTAAACTTTTTTTGATTTCAACAAAAATTGAATATATGGGGTTCTTTGATATGCTGAATCTAACCATGAATTTAGATTTTTTATTTGTGGGCCCCGCTATCAAATTGGTTCATATTGAGGTCAAAAGGGTCCAAAATTAAACTTTGTTTGATTTCATCAAAAATTGAATTATTGGGGTTATTTGATATTCCAAATCTTACCTTGTATTTAGATTTTTAATTTCAAGTCCCGTTTTTTAAATTGGTCTACATTAAGGTCCAAAGGGTCCAAAATTAAACTTAGTTTGATTTTAGCAAAAATTGAATTCTTGGGGTTCTTTGATATGCTGAATCTAAACATGTGTTTAGATTTTTGATTATGGGCCCAGTTTTCAAGTTTGTCCAAGTTGGGGTCCAAAATTAAACTTTGTTTGATTTTAACAAAAATTGAATATATGGGGTTCTTTGATATGCTGAATCTAACCATGTATTTTGATTTTGGACATTGGACCATAATAGGTAAATTAAAAAAATTCAAGTTCTTAGACCACATTCTTTCTGTGTCAGAAACCTATGCTGTGTCAAATATTTAATTACAATCCAAATTCAGAACTGTATCAAGCTTGAATGTTGTGTCCATACTTGCCCCAACTGTTCAGGGTTCGACCTCTGCGGTCGTATCAAGCTGCGCCCCAGCGAAGCATTTTATTGATAATATATTATAATAATAAATTGAGTTTGTGTTAGTTTAAGGGAAACCACTAGTGGTAAGTCATATTTCCATGGAGGTTATTTGGCCCTGCACCTTCTTTCATAGTTCATTGACTTTGAATGTTAACATAGTTTACATGTTTTACAAGTATTGCCAGTTTAATTTCAACGTTTGTATTATACTATCAAAATAACATATACATGATAAAGGTGAGACATATCTCTATAGCATCATTTTATTATCAATTTTCACAGTTTATGGCTGTTAACAGGGATGCACATTATTGAACCTAGGTTAAAAGTTTAATTGAAAAAATGATCAGCATGTCAAGTTCAATCTACTTAGAAAATTATAGAAAATCTGACAACCTGTTTTGCAGGCGTTGCCCCTGAAATGTTGATGTTTTTGAATGTTTTTTGCAGTTTTATCTATTTTTTTTAAAATTTAAGGAGGTAGGTTAAATAAGTGAAGAGCAGTAATGACCAGCAACACAAAGATTAACTAGTTAGTGCATAAAAAAGTCATCTTTAGCAGACTGACATTTTTTAACAAGATGTGCCCCAGATTTTTTTTCTCTCTCAAGCTTGAAGACATTCACCCACTTTAGTTTAAACCTGACATTACATTTGACCTTTTTGTTAATAGCAAGTAGAGAAGTTACGAACAGATAATGCTGAGCTGGGAAACAAACTAGAAAAGGCTTCAGAAACCTGTATTGGAGGTTCAATGCAGTGTCTTGTTCTTGCCCAGTCAACACTAAAAGACAGATATTCCAAAATGGAACAGCACCTCTCACAATATCAGATTGAATCTACAAAGAAACAGGTTTGTGTAAATGTGATTATCAGTCGTCCCACTGTCTGTATCACTGTGCTCAGCTCTTAACAAAATTGCATATCACAGCTTTGTGACGTCAAATACGTTGACCCAGCCTTAATATTTTTGACCCAGACATATCAGCGACGTCATAATTTATGAACCGACGTGGATAAGTTTGAGACGAACTTATCAAGTCATCTTCTGGTTTGTTTGTGAAACAAAGAAAACACTTGTTTCTATTATGTGAAATACGCAAAAACAACCCAATAAATCGATTATCTGGTTGTCTGCATATTGATATTGTAGAATTTCAGCTGCTCGACACAATATGAAGCCTTTTTGAACTCGTTCGCTGCGCTCACTCGACAAAAAGCTTCATATTGTGACTCGCAGCTGATATTTTAACCATATCAATATGCAGACAACCTAATAATCGGTACTACCACCGAACATAATGATAAGAATTTGATACACCCTTTCTCACTTTGTTAGGAGTCAATGAAATCCCCTCAGGGTTTTAGCCTCCTTCAGGAGAACTATCTGTTCTTCTGTCCGTCAGTATTTCTGTCTGATAAGTTTTTATACGACCGCAAAAAAATTTTGTGGTCGTATATTGGTATGACGTTGGCGTCGTCGTCGTCGTCGTCGTCGTCTGGCGTCGTCGTCGTCGTCCGAATACATATTGGTTTTCGCACTCTAACTTTAGTTTAAGTGAATGGATCTTTTTGAAATTTGACCATAAGGTTAAATACCACAAAAGGAAGGTTGGGATTGATTTTGGGGGTTATGGTACCAACAGTTAAGGAATCAGGGGCCAAAAAGGGGCCAAAAATGAGCATTTTCTAGTTTCCAGACAATAACTGTGGAACGGTGTATGGATCTCTCTGAAATTATACTACAAGTTTCCATACCACAAAGGGATGGTTAGGATTTGCTTTGGGGGGTTATGGCTCAAACCATTTAGGAATTAGGGGCAAAAAAGGGGAAAAAACAAGGTTGTCCTGGTTAATGGACAAATACTTTAGTACAAAACATAATTTAAAGCAGTGTAAGGGAGATAAATCAAATACATCATTGAAATTATCTCCCTTACACTGCTTTTAAATTATGTATAAAGTAATGGTTAATGAACAATAAAGATAATCTAAAACAGTGTAAGGGAGGTAATCCAAATACAACGTTTTGGTTACTTCCCTTACACTGCTTTTAAATTATGTTTAAAGAAATGCATATTTATAAAGGAAGACCAGTAAAAATATCTGCAAATGTTTTCATCTTTTTTTTTTACAAAAAAATCCATATGAAAGATTTGACACTATATTTTTTATTAATTCTATTATAAAATAGATTATGTTAGCACTATGGTAAATTTAAATGGGTAATTATGGTTGCCAACTCCATTGGAAATTTGAATTGAGATTATGACCATATCTTGAGGGCAAGAATTTTTTTGGGGGAAAAAGGGGGGGGGGGGATAAAAAGAAATTGTGGGGGGCCAATTTTTTCTCATTTCAGATTTCAGAAATTAAAAAGAATTATTCTTCAAATATTTTTTTTTTTTCAAATTTCAAATATTGAAAAATTTCAAGAAGTAATCTTTAATTGCACAGTATGGCGCATTAGATTTGTAAAATCTTTGATCACATTTATTTATTTGTTATGCCGAATCTAACAGTGTATTTAGATTTTTAATTTTGGGTCCAGTTTTCAAATTGTACTACATTAATGTCCAAAGGGTCCAAAATTAAACTTTGTTTGATTTTAGCAAAAATTGAATATATGAGGTTCTTTGATATGCTGAATCTAAACATGTATTTAGATTTTTGATTTTTGGCCCAGTTTTCAAGTTTGTCCAAATTGGGGTCCAAAATTAAACTTTGTTTGATTTCAACAAAAATTGAATATATGGGGTTCTTTGATATGCTGAATCTAACCATGTATTTAGATTTTTTATTTGTGGACCCCGTTATCTAATTGGTTCATATTGAGGTCAAAAGGGTCTAAAATTAAACTTTGTTTGATTTCATCTAAAATTGAATTATTGGGGTTCTTTGATATTCCAAATCTAACCGTGTATTTAGGTTTTTAATTTTGGGTCCTGTTTTTTAAATTGGTCTACATTGAGGTCCAAAGGGTCCAAAATTAAACTTAGTTTGATTTTGACAAAAATTGAATTCTTGGGGTTCTTTGATTTGCTGAATCTAAACATGTGTTTAGATTTTTGATTATGGGCCCAGTTTTCAAGTTTGTCCAAGTTTGGGTCCAAAATTAAACTTTTTTTGATTTCAACAAAAATTGAATATATGGGGTTCTTTGATATGCTGAATCTAACCATGAATTTAGATTTTTTATTTGTGGGCCCCGCTATCAAATTGCTTCATATTGAGGTCAAAAGGGTCCAAAATTAAACTTTGTTTGATTTCATCAAAAATTGAATTATTGGGGTTCTTTGATATTCCAAATCTAACCGTGTATTTAGATTTTTAATTTTAAGTCCCGTTTTTTAAATTGGTCTACATTAAGGTCCAAAGGGTCCAAAATTAAACTTAGTTTGATTTTAGCAAAAATTGAATTCTTGGGGTTCTTTGATATGCTGAATCTAAACATGTGTTTAGATTTTTGTTTATGGGCCCAGTTTTCAAGTTTGTCCAAGTTGGGGTCCAAAATTAAACTTTGTTTAATTTTAACAAAAATTGAATATATGGGTTTTTTTGATATGCTGAATCTAACCATGTATTTTGATTTTGGACATTGGACCATAATAGGTAAATTAAAAAAATTCAAGTTCTTAGACCACATTCTTTCTGTGTCAGAAACCTATGCTGTGTCAAATATTTAATAACAATCCAAATTCAGAGCTGTATCAAGCTTGAATGTTGTGTCCATACTTGCCCCAACTGTTCAGGGTTCGACCTCTGCGGTCGTATCAAGCTGCGCCCCAGCGAAGCATTTTATTCACACTTTACTTCTGTAAGTCTTTTATCTATAGGTTTGATATAAAGTCATAACAAAAGAAGTTACAGGTATGGTTTGGGTTGGTTTCTAGTTCAGCAATTTTTTTTATCAAAGTTGTGGACCTTTAAAAAAACATTGCTAGGAAATCTCAGATGTTCACACTTTTTTTCAGGAATTCCTGAATCAAATTAATTACTTGATATACAGTCACCTCATAAGGAGTTGTATAGATCAAGTTTGAATTTTGCTCTGGTTGAGTGGAAGTTGATGTCAACAGGACATTGCAAATTGCTTTAGAATATCATTTTTTAGAGAAATGAAAACTGACGTCTTTGTGATTGGGTTGTTGGCAACATGCATCTAAAAATAAATATTCTGACCAACTAATTCTAAGATGGAAATTTCAACTACATCACTAACAATAAAATGTTTTTTTCATAGATATTTGATTTACAAGACCAAGGAAAATGTGTACTTAGTTGAAATTTGATGTTTATTACCTATTTAGGCTACTAAAAAAAACCCGTAATTTACAAACTTTTTTCATTTATAGAAGGAATACAAACAGGAGATTAAAGACATGAAACGTGAGATTGAAGACCTGAAAGAAAGGCTAACAATGGGATCAAATGAGTACAGGAACTTGTACATTGAAAATAGAAAACTGACCAAAAAAATGGAAAAGTTAGAAAAAAGTGAGTAGATATAAATATGAAAGTTATGTACCTTTGTCCCAAAACTATCCAGATACTTTTTTTTTGCCTCAACATCATGCAGAGGGTAAGGGCTAATGGAGTATCCTCAATGTATACATCCTTATCCATTTGTGCACCAGTTAAAAATGTTATCATTGGAATTCTTGAAATTCGAACAGTTGTCTATCATCATTTGGAGATGTGCATATGTGTTTATCAACATTTGGTTTCCTGATGATAACATTGATATTCCTTGCTTAATTGAAAGAAAAAGTTTACAGCTGGGTGATTAGGGGAAGGGAAAAAAGCCTAATGATGTTGGGCTGAAAGGTCAAGATCACTGTTAGTAAAAATAGAACAATTTGGGAAAAAAATGGTTTCTGGATGGTAACTTGAGTTTCACTTTCTTCATTGTAACAAGACTTATACAGATGGAAGATATAAGGTTGGGCAGCAGCCTGTTGCTAGCTGGAAGTGTTTAACGACCTTGACTGGATGTACATCCCTCGCACGGTCGGTTTTGTTGCTCACTGGGTAATCGGTCAATAGGCCATTGTTACTGTTACTAGAAATAGACATTTTTTTTAAATGGTGTCTTGATGGTTACTTGAGTTACCCATGCTTGATTAGAACGAAACTATGCAGATGGAATATATAGGGAAGGTGAAGAAGCCTATTGAAATTTGGGTCAAAAGGTCTTAAAGTCAAGGTCACAATTATTAAAAATAGAAAAGTTTAAAAATTTGTTTACAGATGATAACTTGACAAACAAAACTTATACATAGGGAAGGGAAAGATGCCTATTTATTTTTTGGGCCAATAGATTAATGATTATAGCCACTATTACTAAAAAAGTAAGTTTTTGGGGAAAATATGAAATGGTAGATATTTATACAGGTAAAATTGGCAATAATAGTACATGTGTATTTGTCCCTCCAAGTATATTAGTATTTTGAAAATTTGAAATAAAAATGTTTTCTCTCAATAAATGTGCTATTCATGGAGATTTGGTTGGCAGTGCCATCTTTTAACTTGTTTTGGCAAAAAAACTTGAAAAATCCTTGAGTTATAGTTTTGTACTGGATTGCTTACCTTTCAAAGAATTATGTAGTCCTGGCTTTTGACATTAGTATTTAGTCATTTACAGTGTATATCTGCTTCTCAAAAAAAAACCAGTGTAAGTATTTGTCTGTTTTTCCTAATATTTCTTAATAATTGTAAAAATATGTAACTATAAATAAAAAAAATTGTATTTCTGTCTTTCATTTACAGGAAAACAACCACAACGCCAGAGTTCTGAGACAGAAGTTGTAACAATAGAACATTACCAAACATCTTCACCAGATATATCTGCTGCTGAAGATGTAATAGAGACCCAGCTTCAAAGTGACCTAGATGAAGTTGGCAAAGAACTAGATCACAGACAGGAGAAAAAATTAAAGTAATATTAGCGTGTCTTTAGATTAGACATCTTTTGCTTCTAGTACCTTTCAGATTGAATACATGTATTTCATTTATTTACAGTGGCAAGTGTTAAGAATATGCATGAAATGTTTCCCACTGGACATTAAGCAATCATCAATCAATTAATCTATAACTTAGATTTTTTGGGTACATAATCTAATATCTAAATATTGTCATGGAAGGTCAGTTAAATAAGTATTTTGTGTCAGGTTTTTATTAAATAATCATAAGAAATATAATTAATATAAATACCTAGTAAAAATAGGGAAATAGTCTATGTCCATGTTTTAAAATAACTTTAGTAACTAATTTTTTTCAACTTTTAGATACAAGATTAGTTTAATTGAGGAAAGAAAGAAAGTAGAAAAGCTGAAGAAAGAATTGAAAGAGAAAGATGATGAAATAGAAATGTTGAAAAAATCTTTGATTGAAATTCAAAATGAAAAAGATGTTAAAGTTAGGTCTCTGGAGGTGAGTTTATGATAACAGTCATCATATGCATTGATTGATGATGGCAAAATGAAATATTATGTGTCTCATAGGTCTGCTTTGAACAAAAACTAGGGTTGCCATTTTGTTTTGCTAAGCCTGCTGAAAATGGTATAAAATACTGACAATCAATCTATCCATTGTTCATAAAAAAAATCTAAATTTACCTATTAGAATAGACATATTTGTTCATGTCATGCTCTATGCTAATTGTCCAAAGCGTAGAATTTAATTGTAGAATTTTAGGTATTAGAAAAGCACTAGTGTATATCAACTCCACACTAAAGTGTCTTCTGTAGATTCAGTTATTTTCGTGGTTACCGATTCTCATGTATTGAAGAAAAATTGTATTTTGCCTTAGTCTGCATACTAGCCTATAGAAAATTTGAACTTCTATGAACATTTAAATTTTTGGTTCATCTTTACCCACGAAATCTACACAAAAAACTGGTATCCTATGAATAATAATTAATCCACAGTATTACATCATAAATGAAACCTTAGGAAACATCTGTCTGGGATATTTTACACTGGTGAATTTCTTCCAAAAGGAAAAAGTATGCTGCCAGTAAATATTCTCTGATACATATTTATTATTGACCATGATATTTTGTTTATTACAGAACTACATGTCAGACAAAGACAAGACAATAGAAGAACTCAACAGAAAGATAAGAGATTCAATTAATATACATGATGTGAGTAATTTACTTCATATATATTTACCCATACTAACGGCAAGATACAATATTGAGTGTTGCCCAATCCAATTCAATCTATTTGAATAAAAAAAAAAAATGTTCCAATAAAAATCTTTAATTGCTTGCACATGAATAGAACATTTGTTATAATGTTTACAATTATATGTGCACACACCATAATCTATAGAACAAAAAGTAGTATTATGTATAACATATGTAATTGGTAAATACTAAATTATTTGAAAATTATATATTTAAATTTTACAGTTCATATTAATATTATGGGGAAGTCTGAACAATTTTCTACAGTAGGACAAATTGTATTTTTATTTACTGTGGACCAGGCAATTTTATGTACAATTGTGTTGTCAGTAAAAATCAGTACCTTTAAAAATAATGAAACACTATTTTAGTATACCATTTAAGTCAGGGTTATATGTTTTTTTACTAAAAATTATTCTGATTCCCAACTTTAAATAAAAAATATATTTTGATGAGTGAGAATGGAAAAAATTTCGGATTTAAGTTTTTGCCATTAAAGGAGAAAGTCCGGTAAGGGCTAGTTATGGCCAAAATTCGAAGTACATCTAATGAAAGATTTTTGTCATTTTTTAAACACTTAAGTGTCTTTTACAGTCGATTCAATTAGTTTATGTAAAAGATTTGAACTGATTTGGTCATAAAAGACACTCAAATATGAAAAATCTATCAAATATGCCTTAAAACTTCACTTTTCTGATGGTTTTTGTCTAAAATGGAAGTGGCCACGTTCAAGTTCAGTCTCAACCTTTATATATGTTATGTATTATGATCAAATACAACATATATTTAAATATTAAGACTGAACACAAATGCGACCACTTCCATTTTAGACAAAAACCATCTTAATATTAGCAAAAATGCTACAGTTGTGAAGATTTCAGTAATTTTGTATGAATTTATGATGCTATTACCTGATGCATGTGCATTGTATTATAAAAATACAGCCCATATTTATGGAACAAAAGTTTTCTACTTTCCAATAAAGAGCTAAAATTACATTTCAACAAATAAAAAAAATCACATGTATCTAAGACTAAAATATCAATCAGTACACATCCAACATCCAATGGATTTAGTGTAAAGAAGTCATTATGATTGTTTCCAAATTATTTATCTTTTTATTATAAGGGACCATGCAAGATTCATTCCTTGGAAGGTAGTGGTGCTGCTTCTTCCCTTGAGAAACCTAAAACATCCACTGAAGGAAATAGCTACCCATACATGGTATATCCTTACCATGGACAGACCCAGCCTATGGTGTATCCTCAGCAGACTCGGGCCTCACCATTAGTTTACCCAGCACAACAAAGACCAAGCATGTGTCCATCACAGGGTCCAATCATGTATCCACATCCACAGGTTAGTATTTGTCAAGAAATATTGTTAATTTTCAAGGTTTGTGGAAAGGTGACAATTTAGGTTTTGTCATGAAATTTATGTTAGATTTAATATCTGTTCGGAAGTATTGCAAACAGTTGGTATTACAGGAATATAAACTCACATAAAATATTATACACCTATTGACTGGTTATGAGGGTTATAGCAAGTTTGTTGTCCCTGAGATACCAACTATTGCTCGAGGCGAAGCCGAGGGCAATAGTAAGTATCAAAGGGACAACAAACTTGCTATTACACTCATAACCAGTCACTAAGTGTTTTATTATACCGAACAAAACAAATTTCTAAAAAATACTACATGTTTACACCACTTGGAAAAACACCAAATAGTAACATGGACATGCATAAGATCAACTATCAGGTTTTTGTTATTTGCCCGTGTGGTATTTGCCAATATTTTGATTACTGTAATCAAGACCAGGAATCCTTATGTAAAAACTCCCGTGCATATAATAAACGCTAGATAAAATATTTTACCATGCACCAAAGCAATCCCAAATTATGAAGACGACGACATACCGATACCATAAATTTGTTATGTTTTAGCTCTTAAAATATGTCGCGAAGATTTTCTTTTTCTATTTTAATTGCTTCTGGTAAGTAATATCTTAATTTGAAATTACGACGACAGACACATACAGATTATATCGTTAACGATATTTCGGAGTTTAACGTTGCCAAGCGCACAAATCCAAGCAAAATAGGCTATGCCGTCGTATGTCCAATGAAAAATTAGTATGAAAAAGTACGGGAAATATGTTTATAAAACTATTGACCAGGGTAATAGTCTTCGAAACTATTGACTGACAAAAAGTCTGGAATATAATAGCACAAATATTTCATTCTTTTTTATATAGAAATAACATACTGAGGTATAATAATCTGTATTATTAAATGGCATTGTAAATAAACCTACTTAGTTTTGGGTTTCAAATGATTTTTAGGGTACTTGTATATAGATATAGTAACTCATTTTCTTTGCAATTTCTACAAAAGGGGTAATTCTCTCAAACTACTGACTCTCATTTAAATTAAAAAGTCTCTACCCATAGATGTGGTTCACCTCAGACTTCAACTGAATGGTTTTTTGGGTTGCACATAGCAAAATCAGGACTTTGTCTGTTCTTAAGAAATGTGGGAGCAGGGATATGTATATATAGAGTATTGCAGGTATTTAAGCAGAAAAAAATATATTTTTACTGTTTGTCATGATTTTAACAGATTTTATTAGAACATTTCATAAGTATAACTTAAAAAAATTATCTCACAAGAAGAGATAGGAACTTGCTTATAGCTATCAACCATTTCACTATAGTTACTATGCTTGTTTATTTTTTATTACAGAATTTCATTCTTCCTCCACAATACAAAAGACGTGCTGAAGAGGGACAAAGTGCAGCTGCTTCCCCTCCAGTTCCCCCTCCCCGTACAGACTTAAAGAAGACACCAGTTCAAGATGATGTTAATCCTGAAGTTCAGGCGTTAGACCCTCCTCTTCGGCCTCTCCCACCACCAATGATACCAGAGAGACTACAGACATCTAAGGCAGCAGAGGTGATAAATTTGATATGCGGAGGTATGTAAAATATTCTATTTGTGTGTCTTGGTAAATAAAGGTACCTAAAATAGATAAATATTTTTTCCATAACAAATTCTATTATATATAATAAACATAAGGCTGTAATTTATTCTGCAACAATTTGTTTGTCTTTTTTTTAATCAAAGTGTCTTTTTTTAATCAAAGTGTCTTTTTTTAATCAAAGTGTCTTTTTTTAATCAAAGAAGCAGAAAATATGTAATGTTAAGAGTGGTGTTAAAAACTGTGTAACATTCTGTCTGAATTTGCTTTTTTAATCTTAAAAAAGATAACAATGGGGATTTACATGCTGTGTCACGCTCACTCATTTTGTGAAAGAACATGAGTTTACTGATGGGATTATATTGATAAAAGTCAATATGTAAAATAACACAGTAGCCTGAAGAGTTTTCATAATAGTAAAAGTCCCTTTACAGTTCATATATGAAATAGAAAGAAATACTTCATGAAATAAATGACTAAAACTAACCCTCAGGCTCAACGTATCAATTTTGGCAGTTTTGTTAAGACTGATATATATATATATATCCCAGCCTGTGTTTTGCATTTCAGACTTTATTTTAGCATACTCAAAAGAATGATAAATATTTTTTTAACAGAAATGTGTTGCTTGCAACAGAATTATTATCAATAGTATTAATATATCTTTGTTTTGTAACATATTGAGAAAAGAAGATATGAAATGAATACACCAAGGATCCAGAAACTTTTTCACACAATTTTTGGTCATTTTATGATGACTTGAAAGTTTGTGTCCTTTTTTCAAACTGTTGAAGTAACTCATACAAGATTTCCGGCATCAACAAACTTGTATTGGCAGTTTCATCTCATTTACTTCTTGAAATTTCTTAAATAGTTCTTGAATGTTTTAGAAAAACTGTAAGAAATTTCAAGCAGTAAATGAGAGGAAACTCTAAAATGTTCAAGAACTATTTAAGAAACGCAACAGTTTAAAATTGAAATTATTTTGATGACTTAAAACAGTAAGTTCCTCAGGAATCCCTTACGCTACACTACTTTCCATTTTGAAGACATATTAAAAACCTGAAATTTCAAGGTAATAATAATAATCTATGAGTGATTCCAGATTTATTTACAGAATTTGTTCTAGTTATCAAGTGGATGGAGATCATCATATTTTTAATTTTATTACCTGTAAAAGTGTTTTAATATAACTGATAATAGTTTCAATCGTTTAATTTGGCATGAAATCATTTTGCATTTCATTGTTTTACAGTTAAGTGTCTAATTTGTTGAAGTTAATTTCATGCATGTGTATTACATAGTAAATAAAGCACACAAATTGACTCATGAAAATTTACATTTTTCTCCATAATTTGATAAAAGTTTTAATTTTTAAATTAAGTATTGGCAATTGTCTTTGCTGAAAAGTTTTTAAATAATGAAGATAACTGTCATGAAATAGAACTTCTTTAAAATATTAGTCTTGAGTTTGATCGGTACTGTCAGCTGGGAAGAAGTAAAAAGTGATTAGGGATTATTAGTTAATATTTCCCGAAGGCATTAACATGGTAATTAGGAGGGCACTCAGGATTATCATACTATACTGGCCTTGTGGTCATAAAACTTTCGAGCACGATTTTCGTACTCAGACTCAGAAATCAGCCAATAAAAATCCTGGATTTGGTGTTTCGAGCACAAATTTTGTACTCTGAGTACTGAGTAAAGTTTTATGACCAAGAGCCCTGGAGTGGCAGTTTCATTACCCGAAAAGAATTTCAAAACAAAACAAAAAGTAAAAGGGTTAAATCTCCCGTTTTGGACAATGACCATTCCAGTTTAGGTCATGTTTGGCAAATATGACTGCTTTAGGACCCTTGGTCTATACATTAGACAACAGTTTCATGAAAACATTGAAGGAGATGACAAATGTATGAGGAATTTATTTTCTTCATCATATTTCAATCAAGTACAGCACATAATCATTAATCTCCCCAGACCAAACTGGCACAATGTTTCCAGTAACAATAGTTGAATTAGATATTTTATCTGCATATATAACAATATTTGTGCTGATTATTTTACAGCAGAAGGAGGAAACAGTACTCCATCAGCACCACCCATGCAGGATATGAAAGAAGAAAGGTAATAACAGTAATGACACTATTGTGTTATATATAGATTCTACCACAGCATCAAGTACAAATTGATGTTTCTCCACTTGAGACTGTAAATTTTCAAATTTAAAAAAACACGGGTTGACATTTGTGTTATATATTTAATAATATTTAACTGTTATAAGTGGAGAAATATCAAATTGCATGAGAGTCAGTTGTGGATCTATTTCTCTATAATGATTTTTAGTCCCCTACCAACGAAGTCGAAGGGGACTTCAGGTTTGCACTCTGTCTGTCTGTCCATCCGTCAGTCAGGCAAATCAGTTTTCCACACTTTTGATGCCCCAGCCGTTGCGGATGGGGCATTAAAGTTTTACCTTGTACGTCCGTCTGTACGTCCCAAAATTGGTTTCCGTTCTCTAACTTTAGTTTGCCTCAACCAAATGTTATGAAACTTATCCACAATGTTTATAATCACAAAACACAGATCAACTTTGAATTTTGGTGACATCACTTTTACCGTTCTAGAGTTATGCCCCTTTACTTGGGTTAGGCACATAAAGAATATGGTGAGGTTTAACATGTTTTTGAGTGTTCCACCATCCCCCCTAACCTGGCAGTGGTGTATCGTAATAGCAAGCATTAGAACAAACTCTAAAAATCAGTTGCAATTGGCTGAACTCAGAAAGATCAGTAGGAGGCACAAAAACAACTAATATGAAAGCAATAGACACAGAGCACCGATATAAGCTAAAAGCTAGTTCAAAGCCAGTTACAACTAATGAATAAATCATATTCGCCACATCCAACAGATTTATTGTAAAGATGTTATAATCAGTCTTAAGAAATGTACGACCTTGTGCAATTCCAAAATATAATTTTCCATTGAAATGTAACCAGACTTTGCCAAAACAAGGAAATCAAATATCAATGAAATTGTTTATAGTAAACATGTTGTGCACAAACTCTGGAATAAGCTCTACGACTCTGGAATGATGCATTGTAGAATCAATAAACAAATGTGACTTAGTGGCATTATTATTATAACTTAAAATCAACCACAATATTTTTTTATTGTTGTTTTCAGGTTTGTTGATGCTCCAGGTGAAGGGATGAAGATTTGTCCCGTGTGTTCCAGTACTTTTTCGGCTGATGTCAGTGACACCAATTTCGAGGAGCATGTTATTGGTCATGTAGGTAGAATATGTCCGTTGTGTTACAATATTGTGGAAAATTGTACTGACGAAGAATTCCAACGACATGTTAACCAACATCTGGATCAGAAAAGCACTTGTAATCCTCCTGAGGGGCCAATAGAATTTGACTAAGTTTTTGAAGATTAATTTGAATAAGTTTCGAAGATATCTGATTATGTTTTGGTGTTCATGTAAAAACATGAACATGTTGGATTTTATTTGAACTATAAGCTTGTACACATGGGACCTTATTTAAAAGAAAATCTTGTACACATAAATTACAATGAATATTTTGTTTGTTGTCGTGGTTATTTATATGATTTTTAGTATTGACAGTATTGACAACTCTGGTAATGGTACAGAAATACAGAAAAGTTAATTCATTTTCTTTTTGATCAGTGTAATGTAAAAAATATGTGCTTTCTTGTAAACTAATGCTTGTTATACTACTTTTGAAGTTATTCCTTAACCCTAGTAAAACATTTTGTTTTGTTTATGTCTATCAGCGTGGCCATGAAGTTACCTATAGTTGCCTCCATCCACCTCATTTGGTGGATACTTCTCTCGTTGGCAATCATACCACATCTTCTTATTTTATATCAGGGGTATATTTCAGAGTTAAAATATTTAATCTTTTCTTCAATTTAATTAAAGATTTAAAAGTCCCCAGTAACATAAGTATGATTTGTATACAAAACCAAACTTTTTTCAATACACCATATATATAATAATATATTATATATATATATATATTAGTCTAAAAAGGACCAAATTGTACGATTTAAAGGGCAATCTGATAAGACATATTTTTATAGTATTTGAATGTCACATAAATTACAAATCACACTTACATTAGTTATTACATTTTATTTGTGTTATGCTGTTAACATTTTGTTATGATTATTTGAAGCGTTTTTTTTAAACATCTTTGCATTCTCATTATAGAACAGTGAGGGTTTTGGACACATTTTTTTGTATGCATTATTTAAAATGATTTTGTTATAGATTTATATTTGGAAAATGTAGGAGTTTTAGATATGTCAAAGTTTATTATGCATTAGCAATAAAATCAATGGTTATTTTTTTTTTTGAGTGATTACAGAATATTTGCATAGCAGGGTTCAAGGGCGGATACAAGTAATGCTCATCCCCACAATCTTCAGTCAAATGCTACTGCACAGCAACGAATAGATAACCTTATAGAAATTAACAAATTGTTTAGAAATATATTTTTTTTCCCGTATATATACAATTACAAAAATTATAATCTCCTTACATGTAAATAATAAATTTAATGTCGTCTGCTTTACTTAATTTTATGTGTAGATGTACAACATAGAAATTTTTTCGAATAATACGAAATTATTTTTCTTTTTTTTCTATATTCAGAATATATTTGGGAAGGCAATTTTTTTTAGAAATTTATATTTGATACAACTTTACAGTGATTGAGAGCACAGTAAGACATGTATGGCTGCTAAATTGACATATTTATAGAAAGTCACAACAATGGCAGATGGCTGTACAGAGACCTGAAGTTGTTTTCATCCTTGTTTTTTATCCTGTTTTTGATATTCAACATGTATAAAATAATCACATGTTTAATCCAAACAAATTCTTCAGTCTTTTTTATTGTTTGAATAAGCTTTTCCTTTAAATAGGTTTATAGTATCATCACATTAATGTTGATCGAATACGTAATCTAATATGTGTACCCAAGCTAATCATATTTTAGTGTGTGTTGGAGCATTGTGATAAGTTTTGAATTACCCGGTATTATTTTAAGATGGAAACAGTTGATTTAACTTTTTCTAATTTATATTTGATACTAATCAAGTATATATATATACTCATGCTATAGAGCTTTCCCCTTCTTTTCTTACAATTTAATGTCTCACTGTTTAAATCTAATTTTCAATATTAACCTTTGTTATTTCTAAATGAATAGTCATGATTCAAAATATGAATACATCAAAATATATGTGTAGATTATTAATTTCATGATTTCATCTCTCAAACATTTAAATGGGCTCATTTTTGTCTCCATGGCAACCATTATTACTGCAGCGAGACTTGGGTGTTGGGTTTGCTGGTGTTGCTCTGTTTAAGTTTGTGATAAGGTTATTCAGACAAGACATATCTGTGTCATTTATTTAAGGAAAGGGTTGATTTATCTACTATATACTGTGCCTCCATAAATATGTTAGATTTAAAAAAAAACTATCGAAGTTTTCATTGGAAGGTGAAGTAGATGAAAATTGCCATCACATGTTTCCATGTTAAGAAAGACATTTTATTTTTGTATATACATGTATTTTCTTAGTTTTGTTTTTTCCCATATTACTTCTTTTTACAAGTTAATAATATTATTTGATTTTTTTCCTATTTTAAGTTGTGATAATTAGTTTTGATTTTATGTTTATGTTTTTGTCCAGTTTACAGTTTATTTTGATTGTTTATCTATATTTGTGATATTTTTTTCATCAACTGATATGTGAAGTAAAAGTAATGGTCTTTTAAGTAGCAATCTGCACCAAAATTTGTGCTATTAGTCAGAAAACCAATATTTGGAAGTTGTTCTTATTTGTCTAAACAAAGTTTTGCAAATACTTATACTAGTCTGGGGCATCGGTCTAGCAGCTCACAGTGCAGATTGAAATAGTTAATCTATTGCAATATTCATGGATAAGTTTTTATCAGAAAAAACAAAAAGATCACACAAATGTTATATAGCGTTGAATAATAGACAAAGAAAAACAGTCACGCCCAGTAATTTCCTGTGTCCATACAATTTTTTTGATTCTCATTAAATGGACAGAGTAAAAAGTACAGCCAAATGACCAGCCATCATGGTGTTGTAAAGGTTATAAAATACTCCTTTCATTGTATTAGTCAACCAAATTAAGGTTACAAAAATTGAGCAAATTTCTTTTGTATTTGTTTTGTGTAAAACCGGTAGGATGTATGCTTGATTATACCAGATAGTATATATAAACAAATACAGCTCAGAATAGACTGCAAACATTGATGCTTTTATTACTTTAGAAATTTTTGTAAATGCCAAGCTAGAAAAAAGTTTTTTCTTTCTGTATTGTTTATTGCAAAATGAAAACTTCACATGAGTTTAATATACCTTTGCAACAATACTTTACTTGTATGGCAAAGTGAACACTTCACAGCAGTCAAATTTATCATGTAAATAGTGCTTTTAATCTTTGTTATCTGTTTTTGTTGTTGTACCATATCTAAATATGACTTTTCTGTGATGGAATACACTAATAAATAATATAGAGGATATTTGTCTTGGTGTTTTGTATGATATGTTTGGCAAGCTATAAATATTGACTCAACAATATACGGATTGATTGAATGACTGAATGTTGGTGATAAATGCCACTTTCATCACTAATGGCTATATCTTGAGGGTCAGTTTATACAGGTGAAGGAAGATGAAGAGACCCACCGACTGTGTGTAGGAAAATAACAATATGGAAGCTACTTGTATATATTTTGATAGAAGTACAGAAAATTTAGGTTTTCAGAACACAATACTAGCAGCCCATCATATTGCTTGAAAAACTTTAACCATACCTAATAGTGAAAGAATCAGTATCTTTCATTTCAGGCCACAAGGAAACTGAAGAATCACAAACTTTGTAATAAACAGGTACCAAAAAAAAAAAGTTCACTACCTCCAGTGTTTGGAATATTGATTATGTTATTGAAATCTATTTTACAAATTACAAAAAATATTGAACAGTACTACAGACTTCACCAAACACCACTGAATGACTTGTACAGAAAATAGACATACAAACATTAAGGAACAACACATGGTCAAAATAGTCTGACTTGGTACAGACACACAAAGTGGTGGGGTTAAACCAGTTTTACTTATGAACAAACCTACCCTATCCTAGCTAGACAGTATGATGTAAAACACACGACTAAAAACCTTCACAACTTCAAGCAGAATAATCACTAACTTGGAAATGAAAATAGCACATGATTTGGAAATCAAGGTTAAAATATGCATGTTAGTACACATTTTTATACGACCGCAAAAATTAAAAATTTTTTGGTCGTATATTGGTATGACGTTGGCGTCGTCGTCGTCGTCGTCGTCATCCGGTGTCGTCCGAAGACACATTGGTTTTCGCACTCTAACTTTAGTTTAAGTGAATGGATCTCCATGAAATTTCACCATAAGGTTCAATACCACGAAAGGAAGGTTGGGATTGATTTTGGGGGTTATGGTACCAACAGTTAAGGAATTAGGGGCCAAAAAGGGGCCAAAAATAAGCATTTTTGTAACTTTCAGACAATAACTTGTGTGTAAGTGTATGGATCTCTCTGACATTGTACCACAAGGTTCCATATCACAAAGGGAAGGCTGTAATTGATTTTGGGGGTAATTGCCTCAAAATTTTAGGAATTAGGGGCCAAAAAAGGGGCAAAAAACAAGCATTTTTCTAGTTTCATGACAATAACTTGTGTGTTAGTGTTTGGATATTTCTGAAATTGTACTACAAGGTTCCATATCACAAAGGGAAAGCTGGAATTGAGTTTGGGGGTAATTGCCCGAAACGTTTAGGAATTGGGGGCCAAAAAGGGGCCAAAAATAAGCATTTTTCTAGTTTCCAGACAATAACTTGTGTTCAAGTGTATGGATCTCTCTGAAATTGTACTGCAAGGTACCATACCACAAAGGGAAGGCTGGGATTGAGTTTGGGGGTGATGAATCATAAGGGGGTTCATAAAATTTGGGGGGGGGGGGGGATTTTTTTTTTTTTTTTTTTTCTTTTTTTCCTTTTTTTTTCTTTTAAAATTTTCCATTTTAAGTTGGTTATTTCTGATTTATATTTAAAAGCAAATAATAATGATATGGTAGGAGATACACACCAAACAGGATATGTAAATTATTATATAATAAGTATTGTGCAATAGCAAGAAATTTTCAATTGCACAGTATTGCACAATAGCAAGAAATCTTCAATTGCACAGTATTGCGCAATAGCAAGAAATCTTCAATTGCACAGTATTGCGCAATAGCAAGAAATATCCAAAAGCACAATATTGCGCAATAGCAAGAAATTGTCAATTGTACAGTATTGCGCAATAGCAAGAAATATTCAATTGCACAGTATTGTGCAAAAGAAGATACTTCGTATAAATTGCTTATTTCTTGATCAATTTCAATGGGGTTTTATTCTTGAATTCTTGGGGTTCTTTAATATGCTGAATCTAACCGTGTATTAAGTTTTTGGATTTTGGGCCCCGTTTTTAAATTGGTCCACATTGAGGTCCAAAGGGTCCAAAATTTAACTTTGTTTGATTTCATCAAAAATTGAATTATTGGGGTTCTTTGATATGCCGAATCTAACCGTGTATTTAGATTTTTAATTTTGGGTCCCGTTTTTTAAATTGGTCGACATTAAGGTCCAAAGGGTCCAAAATTAAACTTAGTTTGATTTTAACAAAAATTGAATTCTTGGGGTTCTTTGATATGCTGAATCTAAACATGTGTTTAGATTTTTGATTATGGGCCCAGTTTTCAAGTTGGTCCAAGTTGGGTCCAAAATTAAACTTTGTTTGATTTCAACAAAAATTGAATATATGGGGTTCTTTGATATGCTGAATCTAAACATGTATTTAGATTTTAGATTTTTGGCCCAGTTTTCAAGTTGGTCCAAATCGGGGTCCAAAATTAAACTTTGTTTGATTTCAACAAAAATTGAATATATGGGGTTCTTTGATATGCTGAATCTTACCATGTATTTAGATTTTTTATTTGTGGGCCCGCTATCAAATTGGTTCATATTGAGGTCAAAAGGGTCCAAAATTAAACTTTGTTTGATTTCATCAAAAATTTAATTATTGGAGTTCTTTGATATGCCAAATCTAACCGTGTTTTTAGATTTTTAATTTTGGGTCCCGTTTTTTAAATTTGTCTACATTAAGGTCCAAAGGGTCCAAAATTAAACTTAGTTTGATTTTAACAAAAATTGAATTCTTCGGGTACTTTGATATGCTGAATCTAAACATGTGTTTAGATTTTTGATTATGGGACCAGTTTTCAAGTTTGTCCAAGTTGGGGTCCAAAATTAAACTTTGTTTGATTTCAACAAAAATTGAATATATGGGGTTCTTTGATATGCTGAATCTAACCATGTATTTTGATTTTGGACATTGGACCATAATAGGTAAATTAAAAAAATTGAAGTTCTTAGACCACATTCTTTCTGTGTCAGAAACCTATGCTGTGTCAAATATTTAATCACAATCCAAATTCAGAGCTGTATCAAGCTTGAATGTTGTGTCCATACTTGCCCCAACTGTTCAGGGTTCGACCTCTGCGGTCGTATCAAGCTGCGCCCAGCGAAGCATTTTATTGTTTAGTGGCCAGCTGAAGTCCGCCTCCAGGTGTGGGATTTTTCTCGCTGTGTTGAAGACCCATTGGTGGACTTCGGCTGTGTTTTTTACTCTTTGGTCAGGTTGTTGTCTCTTTGACACATTCCCCATTTCCATTCTCTATTTTATGTGTCTACAGGAAGCTAGCTACCTTTGCCACAGCTGTTGCTGAATACTACCAAATAAGAAAAAACCTCAGAAAATAACTCTCAACAGGTTTTATGATCTTGACCATAGGATATTGCAGAATTCCTGGATGTGTTGTCACTAAAGTCATATACGGTCAATGTTAATTCCATGGCATTATCTCTTTACAGGGGAAAATATCAAGCTTTGAGAATTGATTTCGTTTAATTTAATGTTTGCAGAAAATTTTTTACGATCGCAAAATGTTTGCGGCCGTGTAATGGTATCACGTTACCGTCGTCGATTTTTGGCGTCGTCCGAAGACATTTGGTTCCCAGACAATAATTGAGTATAAGTGTACGGATCCCAATGAAATTTTACCACAAGGTTCCATATCACAAAAGGAAGGTTGGGATTGACTAACTGTTTAGAAATTAGGGACCAAAAAAGGTCCAAAACAAGATTGTTTCTTGTTTCAGGACAATAACGTGTGTGTAAGTCTATGGATCTCTATGAAATTGTACCACAAGGTTCCATTCCCAAAACGAAGGTTGGGATTGATTTTGGGGGTTATGGACGTTTTTAAATCTGTCAACATTGAGGTCCAAAGGGTCCAAAATAAAATTTTGTTTGATTTCATCAAATATTGAATTATTGGGGTTCTTTAATATGCTGAATCTAACCGTGTATTTATATTTCATGCCCTGTTTTCGATTGGTCCACATTAAGGTCCAAAAGATTTAGAATTAAACTTTGTTTGATCTAAAAAAATGAAGATATAGGGTTCTTTAATATGCTGATTATAACCGTGTACTTAGATTGTGTGTCCCGTTATCAAATTGGTCCATATGAGGTCCAAAGGGTCCAAAATTAATCTTTGTTTGATTTCACTCTAAAATTGAATTCTTGGGGTTCTTTGATATGCTGAATCTAACCATGTATTTAGATTTTGGATATTAGAACATAATAGGTAAATGCCCTTTTTATACGACCGCAAAAATTTTTTTTGATCGTATAATGGTGTGGTGTCGTCATCGTCGTCTGCGTCGTCGTCTTCTGCGTTGTCGTCCAAAGACACATTTGGTTTCCGGACAATAATTTTAGTTTAAATGAATGGATCTCCATGAAATTTTGTAAGAAGGTTCAATACCATAATAGGAAGGTTGGGATTGATTTTGGGGATGATGGTCCCAACCGTTTAGGAATTAGGGGCCCAAAAGGGCCCAAAACAAGCATTTTTCTAGTTTCAGGATAATAACTTGTGTATAAGTATTTTGATTGCTCTGAAACTGTACCACAATGTTTAATACCACAAGTAGAAGGTTGGGATCCATTTTGGGGGTTATGGTGCCAACAGTTTAGGAATTAAGGGCCAAAAAGGGGCCAAAAAACAAGCATTTTTGTAGTTTCAAGACAATAACTTGTGTGTGAGTGTATGGATCTCTCTGACATTGTACCACAAGGTTCCATATCACAAAGGGAAGTCTGGGATTGAGTTTGGGGGTAATTGTCCCATACATGCAGAAATGAGGGGCCAAAAAAGGGCCAAAAACAAGCAATTCAAAAATGGTGGGGGGTTCCAATTTTTTTAAGGGCTTCATATTTTGTTTTCAAAAGTTTCAAGAAGAAAGAAGAAACCTTAAATTTCACAGTATTGAGCAATAGATTTGTAAGATCTTTGACCACATTTATTTTGTGTCAGAAACCTATTTAGTATAAAAAATTTGATCACAATCCAAATTCAGACAGTATCAAGCT